CGGCCGGGGTTTGGTTTCATGTTCGCGACATGACGTGGCTCATGTCCCAGCCGCTGGAGAAGAACGTGTTGATGGAGTCCAGCGCCGTCTTCCGAGCCTCTGCCTGCTGTGCCCGGTACTCCCGCAGCCGCACATCCACATTCTCGCGCTCCTGTGAGGACCCCCTCCCCAACCCCAACCACTTTCAGTTGGAAATCCTAGCCCAGAAAGTACCTGTTGATGATCTCGCTGCAAATCAAACATTCCGGAGATCCGATGCTGCGCAGAATTGGATCGGCTCCAATTCGTTTGCATCTTTGCTTCAAACGGCACGAGGCCGGCTCAGAGCACAGGATCGGGCCCTCCTGCTGCGCACGGCCAGCAGCCTCCGCGTGGGCAGCGGCCTGGAGATGAGAACTCGGAGCCCAAACTGAGTGGCTTCCCTTTGGAGTTTCCCTTCAAGAACCACCCGAACAGAGGGACACCTCAACATACATATATATATATATATATATATATATTACACATGATATATTATTTTTAGCATTCCAAAGCAAGAAGAAGGCTGGAGCCGGGAATTCTTCGGCCAATAAAAAATAAGGACGGCCCGGGCCTTGGCGGTCTCGATGTCCTGGGCCCCACGGGCCCGGATCGTCTCCCTCACCTCCTCCTCCAGCTGCTTCTCGTTGCGGATGCGCATGGCCTCGGCTCCGAGTCTCTCCGAGTCTCCCGACGTCACGACGTCACTCCGACGCGGGCGTGGGGCGCAGGGCGCAGGGCGAGCCCGGCCTCGTGCTGCATGAACTGCTCCTGCTCCCGCCTCAGCTGATACTCCGTCACCTCCTGGCGCTCGGCGTTTGCAAGCACCGGGCACTCGCCGCGTCCCCGCGCCTTTTGCAGCTCCAGCTTGCGGCCTGACGTCGTATTTTCAGGAGAGAGAAGAGAGAAGAGAAGACCAGACTCAGAGAGGACTGGAAGAATTTAATAAAACTGGAAAAGATGCCATGTGTTTTTCTTTTTTTTCCAGCTGGCCTTGGAGGCTGTTCTCCACCTCCGCCTTGTGCTGGGCCGTAAGTCTCTCCTGCTCCGCCAGGTAGGAGATGGTCTTGCGGGCCTCCTCCGCCTGAGCCGCCACGATCTGCTCCTGGAGGCCCCGATTCCGGGCATTGGCTTCTCGGACTCTTAAGAGTTGAGACCTCATGGGTCCAAAAGGAAGCAAGCCCCTATATACATACGACATCCACCAAAGGGCTCTTGGAAATTTCGGGTTGGGACTTGCGCTCGGTGGTTCGGGCACCGAAAACCCCCCCAAAAAAAAGAGCTCCTCCATCTGGGCCCGCATGGTCTTCTGCTTCTCCATCTCCGAGAGCGCCCGAAGCTGGGAGGTCCGCTCCTCGAGCCCCGAGAAAACCCCCGCGCCCCGAGGCGCTCCGAAGCCTCCGCGGAGGCAATGTCGAAGGCCAGCTTCGCGTGCCTGAAGAACTCGAATCCAAAATCGGTCTCCCACGAACTAGTCCCACTGCTCCCAGGCTTTTCAGGCTTCTCCGGTTTCTCGACTTTCTCGGCTTTTCTCGGCTTTTCTCGGCTTTCTCCTGGAGGCATCGATCTCCTTCAACGCAGCCGCTCCCTGAGCCAGATACGAAAGTGCGTAAGTGCGTATTGTCCGGGCTCGCTCTGAAAAAGTCCGGGCCCGCGGCCTTCTCCAGTTGCTCGGGGTCAAACTTGCCTTCCGCCTGACCCGAACCAACTCTTTTCGACTCGAGAGATTCCTTGCGGATCTCTCAGCCCTGCGCAACATCCTTGGAGCTCGGGCGCGGAAGCATGGCGGAACTTCGAACAAAGCAGCCGAAGCCGCTTGGTCTGCCCGTACCAAAGGGATGAGGCTGACTTCTGATAGCTGTCTACATGGTCTAAACCCTTAATGCTCAGCATCTGTGCGTGTTGCATCGTGCTGCAGTGCCTTGGCTCGCTTACCGTCTGCATTTGTTGCATCTTGCACAAAACTCGGCTCTGAGCCAAATAACTAAGTGCCACGTGTGATATTGAGTGTTCACTGTTCGAGGAAAAAAAAGGAAAAAACACCATGTTCTGGGTCCCCTTATTCGTTACACAGGAGGACCGCAGCAGTGGTGTCGTTCAATGAGTTTTGGCTAGTGAGTGATACAAGGCATCACTGCAGTCCTTTTTGTTTGTTGATAATAAGTGAATGGTGGATGCGCAACATTGGCCATTGCACGGCAAAGCTTGCGCTGCAGTCACAGTATTTGTTCGTGGGGGGGTGGAGTTTCTGAGGTTGCCTGCACCCTCGTTTGAATAATCAACACTTTCTACTCTAATATTGGTGTGAAGCTGCCAGCTATGCCGCCCATGAAGTGCGCGGTCTGCATTCTGCAATCACATGAAAAGCACGATCTGCATGAGTCCATGTGCATGGCAGAACACACAGAAGCAATCCTGTGGGCAAATCAAGGTGCCACAAGCCCAGAGCACATGATGCCATCCAAATCCTATGCGCTCGACCTGCTTGCCTCTAGTCCACACCATTGAAAACTCATGGCCCCTGTCAGTGCGTCGACTGTTGCCATGGGCTGTTGCGCTGTTGCTAATCATGGGCTGGCGACGTTAGCCAATAGTGTCGCTTCACAATGTCTTCCATGCGACCCACCAAGGCTTAGGAGCGCGCATGCCGCCGCCCACAAAGGGCGAGGGCTGGGAGAGGCCCCCGTACCTGCGGCACGCACCTGTCACAACCCACACGGCACGCCCACTCCGGACCGCCCGAGCGTCCCAGGCGTCCGCCGAGCGGCGCATGCGGCGCATGCGTCCGTGCGGCGCACGTGGCCGCGGCCAGCGCAGCTCCGGGCGACTCGGGCGCCAGGCCCCGGGAGTCCAGCCCTGCGCCCTTGGCGGCGTGGCGTTCGAAGAAGGCCCGGTCCTGGGAAAACCGAAAAGGATTTCACGCCTCCTGTTTCTCCTTTCTCGTGTTTTTTTTTAAAAATTTTTGTCTTCTTTGGAAAAAGATGGGCGGCTGGCGACAAGGACGTAGTCGATGCGAGAGCCCTCGTTCTCATGGCGCCGGTTCCGATATTGGTCCCAACCTTGGGCCAGGGCGCAGGGCTTCAGGGCCGAAACCTTCCGCTCGGCGCCGGGCAGGTGAAGCGTTCCTGAGCCTCCGGGTAGAACTCCGCAAAGGAGTCCACCATGCCATCGCTCAGAACTCCCTTGCAAGCTCCGCCGGGCACACTTCATCGCAGTCAGATTGGCTGGCACACACACACACACAAACTCACGCACACGCACACAGCAATGCACAGATACACACAGCGGTCCTCCAACCACGACCTGCAGAAACAAAAACTGGCGGTGCGCTGCCTGCTTGGTGGAGTTGTAAATGGCAAACATCCATGACACGCGTTTTGCCACGACAACTTACTTGTTGTAGCGGGCGGAACACAAAATTCTCGCCCGCATATGGTTAGCATCTTTACACATGCATCGGACGAGTGTGCAGGTGAGCGTGTTGCAGAAGCAGCCACCACCAACTCGGGAAACTTAAATATGCGTTGGCAAGTTTGGCATTGCAAGCACCGTTGGTGGACGAGGCGAGAGTGTTGGCGCCGGCGCCAGACCTGGCAGCGCCTCGAGCGGGGACTATCTTCATCTCACAAAAAGCTAGGCGGCCCATAGGAAGATATGCGAGTCAGCGCTAAATTCACTTGTCTGGGGTGTATTCATTCCGACGTTAGGACGTCCCGTATCGTTGTTCCAGTTTTTCTCAAATTTTGAGGGTATCGTTTTTGGACGTCCTGTCTCGTCTGTTGAGCAAAAACCCAAGGCAACATGTGCGTGAAACACTCCTACACAAAGTAAATGACGATGATTTTGAAGCCGACTCAATACGCTGATAGACAGCAGCGGGCGTCTCAGCGGCTGTCAGGCTGGCGCCAAGCTGGAGATGTCCCGGGACTGCGGCTGGCGCTATAGCCGCGGTCGCAGCAGGCGCTAGGTAGACGGACAGCAAGCCCGGCGCGTAGCTGTCCGACGCTTGCGCAAGACACGAGCACAAGCCGAAAGGATGCAAAGGAAGCACATGCCGCCCATGCGGAAAACCTCCGCCCAGAGCGCCTGCCACGCCCCAGGCCAGCGACGCAGGTCTACGGTGATCACCGCTGACAAGATGGGATTTGGATCACAGCCCATTGACAGCACGAGTCCAACAGCTGCGTGCTCAGCGTCCACACAAAACCAGTCACGAAGACGAGGGCAGGAAGACAACTCCAAAAAATGGCCACACAAACGGAACACAGAGACAACATGCTGAGTCACTAAACGTGAGCCGAAATGAGGGCGGTATGTGGTTATCCCCCCAAAACGCCACCCCCCAGACCCCCCCTGACAACAGTGTAGTGTAGCAAAGGTGCACAATTACATGAATGCGGCGGAAAGGCGTGATTTATGCAAGCTGGCTCGAAGTGTAGTTCACAAGGTACACTTTGGCAGCTCCAGTTCGAATACCCCGCAGACACACACACACACACACACATACACACACACACCAATATACATGAAACAAAAGGTATCGCTTTTGGTAGTTCATTCTAGCTTCATTTAGGCTTTCCATTTCAAAAGATCTCCGAAGTGATACTTTCTTCGTGGACCCTTTTGGAGGTCTCTCCCATGCGCTCGGCCTCACAATTTCAGGTGAGCTGGGCCAGGAGCGCTCCACCTAAGGTCACGGGACACATGGTTGGCAAAACCCGACTTGACGACATGGCTGTGGGTCAAAAATATGTACCCAACATGGAACGCTGGTAAGTGGAAACATGGACCAAAACCTGCAGTCCGTTGGTGGCTTCATCTTGACCACCTTGACCCATACCCACATGACGCCGCGGCTCCAAAGTCTCCGAAGACTCGGTTCCGGTTTTTGACGCAGCCAGTGGTCTTGCGCTTGCTCATTCGCATGCCTCTAGCCTGCGCATCATTTGCTGCCATGCGCGTTTGCGCGCTTATGTGGCAGCACCTTGCCCAGCACCGAAGGCTAATGGTTGCGCTTGCAAGGCAGAAACCCCATGGTTGCGCTGAGCGGGACGACCCTGCTCTGTTCGGCTTACAGATTCGCACAAAGCGAATCTGGGCCACATTTACGATCGCAGCCAACAAGCCACCGAGAAAGCATATTCTCATCCTAAAGTATTTATAAATACAGGTCTCGTGGCGGTGCCCCGTGGCGATGCTATGATCCGATGCGCTCTACGCGAGCGGGAAAATCTCTCGGCTCGCAATGGAGCTGGAGTGTTCGAGCTTGGATATTCTCACACTGCTTGCCTCTGCCTCTCTGCTCCCGAGGTATCACCAAGCTCCCCCATTAAGCGGCCACAGGTGCCTTTCGGCAGCTATGACAGTGTGTTTCGCACAGGCATGGCCTGAGAACTTGTCCAAAGTACAGGGCCCAAGGCTCTTCTTGGAAGAGCATCAGGCCAAGTGGTCGATTCCAGTGCCAAATGAGGCAGTTCGGCACGCAAACGCCAGGGGCGAATTTGGGACAGGTGCGAATAACCCGTGCAACTATGGTCTTGGAGCCAAAGTGCTCGGACCGAATACCGGTTTCCTATCAACCACAGCGTGCCCGAGCACGCGGGGCTTTCACTTCTCGCGGTGCAAAGTGCATGCGCAGCCTCGAGACATCTCGGGACTCCCAGACAACATGATTGAACAAACACATGTGGCTATGTCGCCACATGGCCATGGGTCAAAATCCCGTACCCCCAGTGAACATCCCAATCACTAAAACAGACTAAAATGGGAAAATGGGTGGTGAATTCACCTACCCCAAGAAAAGGCACTATTGGTTTTGACAACCACAGCCATCTCCCCCAATTCCCAGTTGCTGGACCCGTGCCACGCAGCGTCCCTATCAGATTTGGATGCCCTGCACAAGATTCCAGGAGTATGGCAGGGCTGTTTCTCTGGGGCCTGGCAATTCCAGGGCAATCTGTCCCGCAAGTTCTCAAACCCAGTTCAACAGCGTCCCGTGCCAAGCGTCGAATCAGAAGGAGCGCCAAAAGCCAATGAGTCCTGCAAATCATTCGGCAAACTGGTATGCATCTCAACTCTTTCCGCCTGGGAGATGGAGAGCAGGCATTTGTCTGAATGCCGCCTTGCAAGTCCACTCTCTCCGGCACTGTGCCACGCCCCTCTGCAACTCCAGCCTTGCAATATGCCCAGGAAAACTCCGTTGGTGATGTTGTCGGTGATGTTGTCAGTGATGTTGTCGGTGATGCTGCCGAAGAAGTCCTGAGCGTTACCCAGTAGCCCATCTGGATATCAAACATGAAAACAAAATGCTGGCTTGGTCAC